ATCCATTTCAAAAGTACAAATTTACACATTACTGTATGTGGGATATTGATCGAAAGAGACTGGATACAATTCCCAGTTACACTTTTATAGTACTAGTCGTCTGACCAAAAAAAACAAAACACATTACAATGTCATTGTGATATACAAAAGGAAAAAGAAATATGGGCACAAAGATGAAAATAAAAAATAAGAAAGTCCATTGTCAGAATTTGTAACTCTTGTGTTGTCCTCTGTCTATACAGTATATGCTTTCCGACTGAAAATGTATGAGATGAACCTTTGAGCTATTTCAGAGAAATGCTGAGAAATGCACCAAAGCGACTGAGAAAAACTGTAGTATTTCCTCATGTAAACTATGGCAACATTTTGGATGACAGTTACTGTATTGAAGTTTGATCAGTATGCCATATGCTTATGTATGCCATAGATCCATTTCAAAAGTACAAATTTACACATTACTGTATGTGGGACTAACTGAATTCACTAAATCACTGAATTATGTTTCATTTAGTAATGACATCAAATTTAAATGAGATATGAAAATTAGAGGAAAAATTTCCGTAAAAAGTTTCCTCACACAAATCCATTTAATATAGTGTGTAAGTCGTGCAGACTACTCGCTGTATGGTGATGTAATCGTTCTTATATTCTCTCCATTTTTATATGACAGACAGACAGATAGACAGATAGATAGATAGATAGATAGATAGATAGATAGATAGATAGATATGGAAAGTGCAGCATGAACATTCTACTAAACATCTCCTTTTGTGTTCTACAGAAGAAAGAAATATATCCGAAGAACTATATACTGTAGTAAACTCAAAACCCTAAGAAAAACGGTTCTTGCAAGAAGTTTCTTTGCTGACCCTAAGATTCTGCCTTTATTTTCTAGAGCATAGAAATGCTACTCCTTGCAAGCATTGCACAGCAAGGAATGGAACAGCTGGTTTCATGTTACAATGAAAGAAGCATATTTAATGCCTCTTTTTTCTATCTTCTCTTCTCTCTCTCTCTCTCTCTCTCTCTCTCTCTCTCTCTCGCTCTATCTCTCTCACACTGCAGAAAGGATACAATTTTAAGCAGCCGAGTGTGAAAAATGGAAAACACCTGAATGGAGTGGGTAAGTCTACACTTACGCGTCCTTGAGAACAATGAAAGCCACCCAACAGCCCTGCAGAGGAACAATGCCACGGCTCCTTCTGTTCCATGCTAATGTCTTTGACCTTGTTTCTTGACACGTCACGACTCACAACTGGGTCAAAAATACTTCTGAAGTTCCCTTCATGCTTTTTGACATAAAATAATGATAATGGCTTTTAAACGTCTCATGTCCCACTGACCTTAAAAAGATTAAAAAAATGAAACATTCATCACTTGATCTAGAAGCAAAGACAAGAAACATCCTGTTTTTAATAGATGTTAGGCTTAATGAAATGCAAAGTTTAGTTGTTTGGCAGGAAACATCAAACTTGCTGTATTAATATGAAGTAGAACTGCAATTTTGTCAAATTTACTTGTATAGTGCTTTTCACAATACATATTGTTTCAAAATAGCTTTACAGAAAATCATTATGTTATTGTATAGAATATCTTAATATCTTCATGACTTATAGTTGAATTTAGCAGATTAGAGGTGAGTAATAAAATTGTTTACATTTTAGGATTCAAGCAATCAAGCAGTTGAGATATGCTATATAGTAAACTTCGCTCTACACAAGTATACTGTATCCATGCAGATATATTTGGACATACTTATATATCCAACATTATACAAAGAGCTGGGCGATGATGTAGTTACATTTTTGCAAAGAAATAAATAAAAAAAAATGATGGCAACTAACTATATTGTTAAATAATGTTACACTGATAATATGAAGTCATACCATTATATACAATTTTGCCAATATCATAGTGCCATTCTTGTCTTATATAACTAACAAATACCCACAGAAGCCCTATTTCCGGAGGAAACATAGTAATTCTGCCTATAAACAAGTTTAGATAAGCCTGACCTGATGATCATGTCCTGGCATGTTGTTTTATTGTATACAGTGTGTAATCTTGAATGTAGACATGAACATTGTGTGATTGTAAGATGATTTTCTGTATGTGTATTTATTTTAAATTGCTCAGTGTATGAGTTTATGAAGGATGGAAGCTTCTTGGTAGACTAATGGTTAATGTGCGATTTAGCAGAAGAATAAAAGAGAGAGATTAAGCCCTCCACTAATTCTATCAGACTCCTGAGAAAGAGAGAGAGAGTGTATGTGAAAAATAAAGTTGGGAGGAGCAGGAGGGGTGTGGTTTTGATGCCCAGTGGTCACATGACTGTTTACACTGTGAGAGAGGAGGCATGTGGGTGAAGAACAGCAGAAACTCAGGAGAAACGGCCCTCACATAAACATGTAGGATATCTTACACACATATATATGCACACACAGGCAGCAGCAGGATGGACAAGAGAGTTGAACACAATTTTTATCCCCCTGAGGGCCAGCCCAGCAGACCAAGAGATGTGCTTGTTAAGTCAGGTAAGACAGACTCAACAGATTGCGACTGAGATTATAGGATGCTGATATAATGTGCTATGCAGTGAAACTTTGGCATGAAATAATTCAATGGTGTTATTAGTAACCAAGGATAAGAATAAAAATATTAGTATATTTTTCACTCGTCATAGAAGAAATGTATCTAGTTGTCATCAAATTAGCTTTATTTCTAATATATATATACTGGATGATGATGAGATGGTGAGATTATTACAATTAATGGCAAAATGAATGTTTTGAAATGTAAACTGATATTTGCTACTGACACACTACAGGCAAAATATAGAAATAACTGGCTTAAAACCTTTATATATATACAGGCTCCTATGCTTATGTTCAATAATTTTACTTTAATGGCAATGTATATGTCCTTTTCTATACAATTAAAGTGAAATAATTGAACATAAATATAGAAGCCTGATAAAAATGCTAATTTTAGATGAACATTTTAGACGGCACTTAGCGGCTTTTGCATCTGAACTGTTCATATATGTATATACAAGAACAGAGAAAAAATGATGACATATATCATACCTGTATATATATATATATATATATATATATATATAGCATCAGACGAGACGATGAAGAAGAAGTGCTGCTGCAGAGTTAGTGCATCAGAGAAAACCAAGAAGAAGAGCTGCTGTGCTGTAGCATAACATTTTCGGCATGTCTAGAACAATTCTTACAAGTATAACACGACGTAGCTGGGCGCCGCGGACAGACGCCGAACGGCGCCGCCGGTGTGCCTACACTCATAGAAAATAATGTATTTGAATTTTAAAGATGTGGCGCGACGCTGCGCTTCTTGTCCGGTGTGCGACCGCCTGAAACGCTGTTTTTTTCACCTCCGTGCCCCAACGTCTTTGTTTGGGCTTCCGAAAGCGGATGATGTCAGGAAACAGTGGTTGCAATTTATTTTTTATCTCTGTTCCTGAGCATTATAACCCCAATTTGCTATTGTGTGCTGCGCATTTTACTGAGGATAGCTTCCACAACATGAGGGAGTACAGTGCCGGATTCGCCCAAAAGCTTTTGTTGAAAGACGGAGCAAGGGGCGTGGCAGTACTGAAACACTGTCTAAGCTGTTCGCCAATCACAACGCACTGGGACAGCTAACCAATCACAACACATTTTGTTTTTCGGAAGGCGGACCTTCATCAAAGCCGGAACTAATCGAGCCGTTTGTGCCAGGCTGGGGAGAAAGGTATTTTAATAATGTAAATTATGTGAAAAATAATGCGTTTTTCGAACCACCAAGCATGAGAGCATGTTCTAGTACACCCCGAAAACAAAATCAAGACTTTGTAAAAGAGCATAATAGGACCCCTTTAAATGTATAATGTTTTTTTTTTTTTTAGAACAAGCTGCTGTAGTATATAAAAGACAAACTAAGTAAAAAGAATGTCACAAAAGGCACTTGAACAAAGCAGTTCGGCAAGAAACAGGGAGCCATGCTTGCTCTGGCATAGTGCCCAACTTGTTGCTCATGGCATTCTGCTGCACAGTGAGGCAATAGACTTCAAAAACTCGTTTGGTAGCCATTAAAAAGTCACCATTTGGCAATTCCCGCATATACTTTTGTGGGCTGGTAATAAAGATGTAGCAATTTTTAGCTGTTATTAACTTAGGATAAACCAATATCCTTGCATCTTAGTGACAAGCAGGATCATCTTTCGCAATTTTGTTGATATAATGTATTACCAGCAGTATCTTGCTGTGTGTTTGTTTTAGCAGAAAAGCGCAAGGTCCACAATGTATTTCTGCCTGACCATGATCGACACCAATAAACCCTGCTTTGTGTATTTGAACAGTTATCTTAAATCATCCATCTCTGAATGCCCAGCTTTTAAACAAACACGCCTTTCACCAACATATCATGGAAGTCTATTAAGCAGTTTCTACTTGAATTATATCTTAAAGGTATAGTCACCAAAATTGAATATGCTGTCATCCTTTACTCATAATCAAACTTTTTTTCTTCTGTTACATCTTTTTTTTCTTGTTTCTTCTTTCAATATTGCACCCCACATTCATTCATTCATTCATTCATTTCTGTCACCACAAGAAAAAATGATGACATAATTATATTCTATTATATTATATTCTATTCAAATATGAGTACATTGACAAAAAACATAGCACAGGGGAAAAAAAGAAAATAATTCAAGCTACACAATTTCGCTTGAAAAAGAAAGGGAAAAAATGATTTGCAAAACTGCATGTTAGTTATAAAAACTCTTGATTGTGTTATTACTCTATATTGTGTTATTGTCCATAGAGACTTCTGCAATGCTTTTTGCTGGGAACCTTTATAATGCAAATTCCCTGTCTGAGAGCTGTGCCTAAATTTCATGGCTTGCTAAGGACCAGTATTCAGTGGGGATTATATGAAATAGCACTGCACTCCACTCACATGGGATAATGGGATCCCAGGGTCTCCTCTGAGAATGCTGACATCGCCATGACAACTGTCAGCATTCTGTTTGCATACAATACATTCTGGGAACATACTACTTATATAACAGAGGATTTTTGTATAAACAAAAATGGTCTTTTTAATGCTGAGTGCCTGGTCGTCAAGAGGACAATATATTCAGTGATGCAGAGGAATTTAATCTGTCCTACCTAATATGAATCAGCATGCTTTAGTTTTCCTTTTCAAAATGGAGACAAAATGTTTCATGTTAGTGGAAAATGTGCATAGATAATATGATGAAATATACTTATATTATTTTTTCTAGGCCATCTATGTGAATCCGAGGGGACTTCATACTTCATAAAATCAATCAGTCAATCAATCAATCAATCAATCAATCAATCAGTCAATCAATCAATCAATCAATCTGAGAGCATAATTTTTTTGCCACTTCATTTGATGTTTTGTAATATATAGCAATGCAATTCTAATATTTTAAATGTGACTTAAATGTCACTTTCTTTTTAGGATCACTGTATATATAAAAAATATACTATATATTTATAGGTTCATTGTATGTCAAAATGCCATGTCAAAGTCTCAAAGTGCCCTATTACCATATGATACCATCATTGAAGGACACACAGTCCTGTACTTTATTGTAAGGGTTAACATATCTTGTCCCTCAAAGCATATTAATAATAATAATAATAATTCATTACATTTATATAGGGCTTTTCTGGGCACTCAAAGCGCTTTACCACCACCTGATGATGCGACAGCAGACATATTGCGCCAGAACACCCACCACACACCAGCTCATTGGTGGAGAGGAGACAGAGTGATGAAGCCAATCAGCAGATATGGGGATGGTTAGGAGGCCATGATGGTCAGAGGCCAATGGGCAAGTTTGGCCAGGATGCCGAGGTCACACCTCTACTCTTTTCGAAAGACATCCTGGGATTTTTAATGACCACAGAGAGTCAGGACCTCGGTTTAATGTCTCATCCGAAAGACGGTGCTTTTTGTCAGTATAGTGTCCCCATCACTACACTGGGGCATTAGGACCCGGTTTAACGTCTCATCCGAAAGATGGTGCTTTTTGTCAGTATAGTGTCCCCATCACTACACTAGGACCCACACAGACCGCAGGGTGAGCACCCCCTGCTGGCCTCACTAACACCTCTTCCAGCAGCAACCTAGTTTTCCCAGGAGGTCTCCCATCCAGGTACTGACCAGGCTCAACCCTGCTTAGCTTCAGTGGGCAACCAGTCTTGGGCTGCAGGGTGATATGGCTGCCTATTATATTAGCACACTTTTTAATTATAATAGGTCTACTGAATCACTTTTGGTTATGCTGAGTATATAAGGAAACATCTGCTGTTGTCCCACACAAACAGACACCATATGAATCTAATTAACCTCACTGTTTATCATCTGCAATTCTTGGAAATGGGCTCAGATCTGATCAGCAGAAACCCATGACTTCCCTGTATGTGTAACTCCTGGGTTTGTGGGGGATGTTGATAAATACATTATGCCCATAATAGAAGGATATTCATTTTCAGAGCAGACACAGTCCACCCTCTGCTGCTCTTTACCATGTTACTGATCTCTAATCAATGAGATCAAGGACAGTCTTCCAGAGCGCCAGATTATGTAGCAATACAAAACGTACTGTGGTGATTGTGTATGTATAAGAACTGTTATATCATATTGAATTCTATCTGTAATCTCTGAACTAGCATACAAAAATCTTTTGTATTTCATAACCATGGCGCAACACTCTCCCTTCACATAATATTAATGTTTTACTCAGTTAAGAGCAACCAGACATGAAATAAACATGGTGTCCACATATACTTAACTCTCATTTTCACAGACACACTTATGATATGTAGACTCTGTTGTTTTTAAATGAACATTATTATTATTATTATTATTATTATTATTATTATTATTATTAAAAATATTATTATTATTATTAATTACATATATATTTATATTCTACATATTGCGTTTTATTATTTTATAGCTTCATAAATTGTCTGACCCGCTTGTTACGACACTCTCTTTGTCCAACAAATGATCATGGATTCATCTTTATAAACATGAAATGTCTATTTTAATGGATTAACAGTATTCAGTATGAACAGAATAAGATCCATAACAGTAATGGTAGTCCAATGGACTGTGACAGATTTACTTGATCTTTATCTTCCTGATGAATATAGCATTTTCATGTCAAAATTTTGTTTATCTCTCAAACAGCCACTTTAAGGGAAGAGAAAATAACAATGTTAAGTACAGTTTTATTAAAAACTAGATTTTTTTACATTTTCTGAAATAGTATGTGCTGTTTGTCCCCACATAATTTACTGTCACAATGTATTGTTGGTTACTCTGTTGAGCAGCACATTGCTAGGTAATTTCTGGGGTCTTCTAGATGGTGGTTAAGTTGCTTACTGACCCAAATCAAAAGAACCCACCACCAAGTCTCTATGATAGTCTGGTATAATTGTCTACTGTATTTTCTTACTTTTCCACCGTTTTATCATCTGCCAGGTCAAAAAAAAAGTAACCTTTAGTCCAATAACACCTATTTTTAACAAGCTGCATTTTTTAGGCATCATTCATATCCGTAGCATAAAGTGCAGGCCAAATTATAGTACTTAGATGCTTTGCTCCCTTAACAGTGATATAATAAACCAAGAATAAAAAAATAAATAAGTAAATAAATTATTTAGAACTCAGAAATGTGGTGTGAACTTGTTAACCTCTGATACTAAACCTTGTGCCACAAATACTTTCACATGCATGAATTCCCTTCATCGTTTTGCCTGTCATCATCATCGTCATCATCATTTCATCCCTGTCCTCTTCTCATGCACTCAGATTGAGAAATGCTAAGAATTGGGCTCAGCTTTTTTAATATTGAATGGTGGAGACGGTCTCTGGTTCTCTGGTTCCTCCTCCAAGCGTAGCATTGTTCTAAGCAAGCTTCAATGCATGTGACACCTGATCTGCTGTCACTTTAGCACAGATCACTGCACTTTTAATCTGCCCTGTCCTTAGAGAAGTGTTTCTACCCATGATGCAGTTGAACTGGTTTGCATTATGGATCTGGCTACAAGTTTGTCCTTTTAGTGGTGATGAAGTACAAACATGTCAGAACCAGTACTATTTCATTACCTCTCTATTTCACAGTTTATTACAGGACAATCATTTGCAAAAAAACAAAAAAAAAACACTGAGAATTAGGGGGAAATATGCATAATTGTTATAAAAATAATTTTACAATACTACAACAAAAACAAATCTTAATGGTCTTAAAATAAGATAATTTCTTTTCAGCAAAATATTATTTCTTTATTTGATTTTTGGGCTGAAAATGCCTGGATGTATTATTTATTAAATTACACTGGACGACAAAAACACAATTGTAAAAAACATTTTTTTTTTTTTTAGATTTTCAAAACATATCTACATACTACGCACACCAGTTAAACTGAACAGATTATAAGATGACTATATTAAAATTATCCTTATGGTCAGAAATATGCAGTTATTGTATATCAACACTTTGGCTGTGTGTCATGGTTAGAGGTTAGGTTTAAAAAAATAAATAAATTCTTCAAATAGCTGGACTCAGCAGAAGGAAATGGAGGTTAGGAATTTCTGCCCAAACCCAGAGGAACATAAACACTCTGCATGTACCTGCTCCCTTCAGGAAACCTGCTTCAGCTCACATGGAATAATTTAAACTGGAGCGGAGACAAGCTGTATGTAGTCGTGTAAATGTAAATGCTGGCTCTCTGATGTGGGTTGTTTATGCTGCACCATCCCACTTCCTACTGTTTATTATGTTCTCCTTTTGCGTCATTCTTTGCCTTTCTGCTCCCAGTAAAAAAATTTAAAAAGTCAAAAGGGAAAAAAAGCTACTTCCTTCCTCTCACATTGTTTTCTCTCTGTCATCAGCTTCAGCATATGCAGATATCCAATGGGAACAGCCTCATCAGCCGAGAAACCCGGACAGGGATCCATTTGATTACCCTCATCGTGAGATCCCCCCGTTGGCCAGTTATACTCCTCAGCCTGATTACATGACAGGGGATGATGATCTCATCAAGCCTAAAAAGATGATTAATCCAGTGAAATCCTCTAAAAGCCACCAGGAGCTTCATCGGGAGCTGCTTATGAACCATAAACGGTATGAGGAAACACAAATTTACAGTACATAAACAATCTTGCAAGGATGACAAATCCAGTGCAAACTGTCTGTGATGGCTTAATTCTGCGATCATACTTTGCAATCTGATAATGAGTCCAAAATAGACTGATTGCCGTTTTCTTGTTCACGTTCCTTTGAAATTAGTACACTGTAAGTCCCTGTAAATCATCTGCTAAATGGCAAATAATACTCACATACAGAGTGAGGAACACTTTTTTAAATGTTTCTGAGGGTAGGTGATGTAAACAGACGTTCAATCCCAACCATTTATCATCTCTGTGCTCCTGAGCAAGATATTTAACCCTAGGTCGCAGTCTCTGTAATAGGCTACAGGTGTTGTAAGTCCCTTTGAATAAAAGTGTCTGCTAAATGACTACTTACAGGTAAAAGTATAGTTCACAATGCTTACAGTTCAACCACTGTTGGAGATTTTGCTAAATAGGACATGTTGATCCTGTAACCCCTTTCCTATCAACCAATCAAGGCTTAGGAGTAAGGGTTAGGTTTAGAGATGGCACTAGCATTTGAAGAACAATCGTACATCTCACATTTCCCTCTGATTCTAGATCTCTTTAATAGCTAGTTTAGCGGTTAAGGATATGCTTAGGACTGTGTTTGTTTGACAGGACAAACATGTTGATCCTGGAATCATGTTCACCACTCAGCTACTTAATTTATCAGCACATCTGTACTGGTTGTGACTGATATTTTGAACAATTATGATACTTTAAACAACCCTTAATATGTCATCACAAATGTACTAAATGTCTTTTCATGTATGCCATGAATACATTTATGCCTCTTAAATTCCCTAGCAACAATGAATCATTGCAATAAGCAAAAAATAAACCTCCAAGTAGTCAATCAGAAAACCTTCAGGTTGCCCTCAAGTCCCTTGCTCTCAGTGTTAGCACTTCGATTAGCATTGTGCAGTTGCTTGGTAGCAGCACATTACAATGCCATCCCTTACTTCTGTAATACCAGTAAATGTGGTAAAGGTGAACACACTCTCTCTGTCTGAGCAAAGGTGTCTAAAGCCCTCAGGAGTGGGCAATAGAAGCAACTTTATCCTTACCTCTCCTTCCATTCCTTTCTTTCCTAGACACTTTAAGAGGTCTAAAATTTAAAGAACGTAAGGCTCAGCCAATGAAGACCAATTAGATATATAGTGTTCACATCCCACTCGGGTCCTGTCTTGTATCACACAAGGGATATGAGCACTTATCTAAAGTGGCCAACAATAGAGCTTTGCTGTTTATGCTGCAGATCCTGTGGCACAGAACTCAGAGTGGTCTTGAGTGCATTGTTATTTCCAGCAGTGAGATCTTCAAAATTGTCTTACAACAAAGTGAGCTGTGACAAAAACACACTACCATCCCACTCAGGTGCACACCGATTCATTTTAGTATATTTTTTAACGTATCTAAGTATGTTTGCCATTCAAGTCATGTTGGAGGGATTGTGTTTATGAGTTGATTGCAAATGAAGACATCAGTGTAAAGTCATAATTATTGGTGGGAACACTGTTACCTTCTTTAATCTCTGAATATCTGGGTTTGGGGATGAAATTTTTTTATTTTATTTATCTTAATGTATTTTAATTGTGAATGTTTATGTGACCATTTGGAGTGTACACATTTTGCAATAAAGCTAGCTAGAAATATGTAGAATATGTAGTTGTTTATCAAATCCATTTGATCTACTTATCAAAATCACCTGAATGCCTTATGTGTCACTGTTACAATTTCAGAACTCATAAGTAGGAACTTTCAAAGTAAACTTAAATGTTGAATATCATCCTGCAGTTCTCAGCTGGGGGCCAGCAGGGAGTGCTCACCCTAAGCTTTCGTATGGGTCCTATTGGCCCAGTGTAGTGATGGGGACACTATACTGTAAAAAAAAATCACTGTATTTTGGCTTAAACCAGGATCCTGTCAATTTGTAGGTTGTTTCTTGATCTGAATCCTGGCCAAATGTGCCCTCTGGTCTCTATCACTCATGGTTTCCTAATCAATTCCATGAACATAGATTATCTACATCACAGTGGCCCTGTCCCAAATGGCACCCTAATCAATTTTTTTGTCTTCCTCTGAGTCTACACTTTAATGATGCAATGTCACTAAGTAACGGTATAGTAACTAAAAATGGTCACTTATGAGCACCCATCTAAAACCTACAATGACAAACAGTATGCCCTATGGCAGGATTATTCAATTCTGTTCCTGCAGGGCCATGGCCAGCAGAATTTAGTTTTAACTGTGTTCAAACACACTTGTTTGTAACAATTAAGCAATTCTGAAGACCTTTATTAGCTGGTTCTGATGTGTTTAATTAGGGATGAAACTGCATTTTCCAGGTTTTAGCCCTGCAGGAATGGAATTGAACCCTGCCCTACGGTCAAGGATGCACATGAAGTGTACCATTTGGGCAGTGTTGGGTGTATTCCATGAACATAGATTATCTACATGACAGTGGCCCTGTCCCAAATGGCACCCTAATCAATTTTTTTGTCTTCCTCTGAGTCTACCCTTTAATGATGCAATGTCACTAAGTAACGGTATAGTAACTAAAAATGGTCACTTATGAGCACCCATCTAAAACCTACAATGACAAACAGTATGCCCTATGGCAGGATTATTCAATTCTGTTCCTGCAGGGCCATGGCCAGCAGAATTTAGTTTTAACTGTGTTCAAACACACTTGTTTGTAACAATTAAGCAATTCTGAAGACCTTTATTAGCTGGTTCTGATGTGTTTAATTAGGGATGAAACTGCATTTTCCAGGTTTTAGCCCTGCAGGAATGGAATTGAACCCTGCCCTACGGTCAAGGATGCACATGAAGTGTACCATTTGGGCAGTGTTGGGTGTAATGCGTTACTAAAGCCCCGTTTCCACTGCAGGAACTTTCCCCAGGAACTAGGGACTTTGGACTGGTACTCGGTGTGTTTCCACCGCAGGAACCAGGATCTAAATAAAGTTCCGGGTAAAAATATGCCCCTCAGAAAGTCCCTGCTCGCAAGGTAGTACTTTTTCAAAGGTCCGGAATTTTCAGGGGCGGGACTTGGGCGCTGAACATGCTGATTGGTTGAGTTCACGCAGCATTGTATTTCAACCACCATACTGTATATTCGCAAAATTAAAAAAAATAAATATTACTGTTATTGTGTCATGAAATGTAGTTTTAAAAATATTTCAGGCGAGAATGTAGTTGTTTAAAACTCAAATCTGTGATTTGTTTATAAAGACAGCGCCTATTTGAAAATGTGATTCGCCGATTTCGGAGACGTGAGCTCCACACATTCAGCGGGCGCTAAGTGCTCATGTTTCCCGACAAGAGCAGCCTCAACTCGGCTAGCCCTTCTGACATTTGCCGCTGGCTCTGATGTCTCTGTAGTGGTTAAACATGTGATATAATTTGTTTTGGGTAAATCTAACAGGTAATCGTTGGTGTTTATTCTGTTAATATATTAATACGTTAAAATGAAAATGAAAAGAGGCAATATAATATTTAGTTTCATTGTAATGTAGGCTACGTTCCCTGAACTACATTTCTGCGGCTATTAATATGTTTAAATGAAAACAAAAAGAGGCAGTGGTGTTTGATATCATATTTCTTCTTATTGTAAATACAGTGAGGAAAACTGCAGTAGCCAAGGCGAGCTGACTGACATTATCAAGTACGCTGCTGTTTGCAGAATTACCGGACTTGCGTCGTCACGTCCGCGGGAGTTCACACTCCCGAGTCAAACTCGCGAAGTCCGTACCGAGGATGCAAGCCCGAAATTTGCGTACTTGGTATTGAGAAATGCGCGCAGACCTACATCACCAGACTAATTGCCTAATCTTCTCGGTACTTTAGACAGAGATGGAAACGCAGACAGCAGCAGGTCTGGGGGGGAAAATTTCCTGAGAAAAAAGTTCCTGGGACAAATTTATGGAAGTAAAATAATGCCATATGTCTTTGAAACAAAAAAGCATGTTGAATAGCTCTAACTGAAAACATAATGCATTGCATTAACAGTGCTTGCATTTTAATGCCTTGTATTTTCAGGGCTTGCATTTTTAGGTCCTGAAATTTAACATAGTTGTTTATTTAAGCTGTGAATATTTCAATTTAAAATATGTCACACATTTTCATAATAAAAAATTCAATAATTCATATTCACCTTCCAGAATTCACTTCCAAAATATTAAATCTGTTTAAAAATACGATGTATAATATTTGACAGGCAAATTTCGGTCCATTTTATTTCACTTTCCAAATTCGCGGTTATAATTCGGCAGAAAATTCAGCATTGCACATCCGGGAGCTGCAGGAATAGCAGTAGAGCACCGATGCATGATCTCCATCTGCTGTCAGTCGCTCACCAGCAGGTGGCGCAAGCGGCTGTTGATGAAGTCATTTACAAAAACTGATCTGCAGAAATGGAGCAAGTGCTAAGTAGTTTTGATCATCGGGGCCAGTATAAACATGTGGAAAAGCTGATTGTGTGTATGTTTAATTCAACATCTTCGCTGTTATCTGTAGCTTACATGTAAGCAGCTTTCTCTACCACAAAGGGGATTATAATGCTATTTTACCCAACGCTTAAGTACAGAACTAACATTACATCTGAGGAAGACATATATTGCTTTTGGTTGCTTAGTTTCAGTAACTTTGTATCATGACTTGTGTGACGCTGTGCTGTAATAATGGAGATCCCCTCACGTTACACTCCAGGATTCCCCAATGATGCATAACGGGCCTCAGTGAACTAATACAGTGATATAAGACCTCAGATCTCAGAATACACTTTATTGATGATTATGCGAACTATATCGACAGTTAAGCAAATGTAGAATATGAACGCACACTCAAGGTTTCACACTGTTTCCCTCAGAAATCTGTTAAAGAAAAGAAAACACATTACACGGCTCAGTGCACAAACGCAATGACAGCTATTAAAAGACCAAATTCAGATCTTACTGATGATGCAAA